AAGCAGTCTGACCTGGCAGTCAGGGGGTCATTGCCATATTGCCATGCCAGCACACACACACACACACACACACACACACACACACACACACACACGGACTCCACTCTAACCCTGTTTCCATCCAATGGTATATTTTTTTCCTAATATGCAACCTGAAATTGAGTCTGATATTTGTGCTGAAAGATCACATGTTCAATAATAGTGAACAAATTGAGTACAAAGAAGTGAGTGCTATCCGTCCTCAGAGGCTGTTCTGCTATTCTGCTACATCCTGTGTTCACTCCATGGAGCTTGTCTTTAGACACCAGAGAAACACATTCTTTGCACTGAGCTTTTCTGCTCCAGTGAAGCCAGCAGGGAACAGAGTCTCTCCCAGAGGACAGTGCTTTCCTTGTGCAATGCTTCAGTGTGATCAGTTGTGACATTTTCTGTGTCCTTTATCTCACATTCACATATAATCAACAATTTATTATAAATTCAAGATGGATTTGAGGTCTTGGGAATGCATCTTATGTTTTATTTATTCATCTTTCTTACTACATTACAGGATACTGTGGAATTTTTACAGGAAAGTGCACTTTTCCCCCCAACAATTTTAACCTAGTTGAGAAGTAGAAGTATGTTAGGAAAAATAGGTCCAAGATACATAGGTAATTAATTCATTAGTCTCAAAATATATACTGAATGCTGCTAAGTTGCTATGCACTGGTTGTGACTGCTGGTAAATTGCTATGGACTGCTGGAATACAGCAGTAAATAAATAGACACATCTTTTTTCTTGTGGATGCTGCATTAAATATGAAAAATAGGAGTCAGGATATGATACAAATTAGAACACAAGAGCTAGACATGCAGAATAACAGAATGGGATCTGTGGAGAGTCAGAAGGGTGAGGATGATTGGTCGGAAGTTGGCATGGAAATTTTAAAAAAAGAAGTGATAAGTATGAGCCCTAAAAATGACACATGAAAAGGACTTAGAGGAGCTGAAACATGCAACCATCTTCAGAATGTTCTTTCAAGGAGAAGGAATAGACTGGGAAGGAAAACCAACTCTTTCTGATGTCCAGACAGAGATGCAGATTTGAGAAGGTGGGAAAGTCACCAGTACTGCAGCACAATGAAGGAGGGAAGAGTAGGACAGGTTTTAGGAGATAATGTGTTGCAGGGTGAGCTCAACTGTGGATGACTATGAGGCCACTGTGTGCATGTGTGTGTGTGTGTGTGTGTGTGTGTGTGTGTATGTGTGTAATAATTTAGGCATCTTTATAAGGTTGTAAGTATAGGAATTACATTGCTTACATTGCCTCATTGATGTACTGGACCATACTGGGTACTTTATCCAGAATGTACTGGAGGGGAGAAGGGTATAGACCAGGTAGAAGGCTAAAGCCATCCTTTTGGTAAAGAATAAAGGTGGCTTGAGCAATGGTGGTAGCCATAGAAGTGGTGGCAAGGTGGCAAGTGGGAAAACTTGGGGAACATTTGAAGGAAGGGGAATTAGGGTTCTGATTTGAAAGAATGAAAAAAGTACATAGAAAAAAGTATATAGTAGAGAATGGGAATAAGTTGATTCTAAATTTTTGAATTCAGAAAAAAAGGTGAGAATTTCATGAACTGATATGGAGAAGGAACAGATAGATCAAATTTGAAAGTGAAGATTAAGATTTAGCTCCAAGCATACTAAGTTTAAATAGTTACATCTGACCTTAATGTCTTATTAGGAATGTTGGCATTGGAAAGAAACTGAAGCGTCTTCTATGAGAGAATTTTTTAAAATCTCAGAATCATAAGCAGAAAATGCACTGATAAATTCCCAAGAGCATGTAAATCCTCTAAAATTTTGTGTGCTTATTCTTATATGTGTGTACATATTGGGAGAGTTAAATTTTATTAATTCCCAGAAAGCTAGGTAATTTCTTAAATTTCAGTCAGTTATATCCATGTGAAGAAATTAAGGAATATAGGGGTTAGACAATGGATTCATTTCTTTTAAGGGAAACAAGAACAAGAATGCAAATCTTGAAAAGAAAACATGAATGCAGTTGTCTTTGCTACTTCCCATGTATCTTGGGATATAAAGGTATAAAGGGATTTTTACCCTGCTACGGCACATTTTATCACAATAGACAAGGTGCTCTATAGTTTCCTGCTGCTTTGTTTCAGCGATGTTAATTAATTGTGATCATAGCTGATTTCTGCTGGGAAATGGACTAACCATTGTTTGGAAATATGTTCCTGAGAGTGGAAATGCTTTTCCGAATTCACACACATGATTGGCGTCAGGTCTTTGTAACAATTGCACAACCCTTCAATACCAGGCCAGTGAGCTTTGCACTTCTAACCCACCCACATTTTTGCATTATGGTAATGGGTGACATAAATATTAAACTTTTAGGTTTTAATAATTTGCATGATACCACTCTTCTGTCTTCAATTATTTATTTGTAGAAACTTGACTGTATTACTTTTCATAAACTCAGAATTTATAAATAAGTTTTCCTTCAGAATTAAATTAGCTACCATTTCAGAGCTACATTATCTGTCCACTATGTTATCGATGCACTTTACCTGTATAATATTGGAATTTTCTTACCGTTTCGGATGTGAGGACATGTAGGTTCAGAGGTTAAGATACCTTTCTAAGATTACAGAGCTATCAAGTAATGGAATCAGTTTAAACAACACTTTTATTTATTTATTTATTTATTTATTTATTTATTTGGGATACCAAGGATTGAAGTCAGGACCTTGTGCTTGTAAGACAGGCGTGGTGCCACTGAACTAAATGCCCAGCCCGAAACAACACTTTTATTTTACTCTGACCACCTTGGTTTTTTTTGGCTCCCTATATTTATTTTTAAATTTAAATTTTAATGGCTATATATGTATATATGTTTATATATAAATACTCAAATAGTACACATGTATGGGTTACCATGTGATATTTCTATAATGCATATATTATATAATGTTTAAATTCTATTGATCTCATTTATTTGTAATTTCTTTACAGGAAAACACTGAAGATCCTTTATTTTGGCCTTTTGAACTGCACAGTAGATTCTCATTACCTATAGTCACCCCTTTATGTAACAGCACAGCTGAACTTTTTTCTATCTGTAACTTAGTTCGTACACAGCCATAAGTACCCAGGGTCTCAGTTCCAATACCAGGTCTGTTGTTGAACAGCTCTGTGGCTTTGCTTACTTGGCCTCTGTACTTTGCTTTCATTCACTGTATTATGAAGTCCATGACCCCCAGACCTCTGTTATAGAGTTGTAATGAGAGCTAAGTAGGTTAATTAAATACGGGGTGTAGCATAGAAACTGGCCGATGATCAGACATGTCTGGGGTTTTTCTACTTGTACTAATAGCAGGAAGCTTAGTACAGTACATTGTTATACACAACTTCACACAAAAATTCCCAATTTATGGAAGGATACTGAAATTTTTTGAGTGCCTATTATAAATCAAAAATAGGCCTAGGGTTTTCAAATATCTACTCTACTTAATCACACAATTTGTCAGAAAGTTATTAGTCATTTCATTGTTCTCATCAGTTTTATGAGAATAAGGGACTTTCCACAGTAAAGATAATAAGTGGATTCCATAATTGTAAAATCAGTTGTTTTTTTTTTTTGGTACCAGGGATTGAACTCAGGACCTCACACTTGTGAGGCAGCCAGCAGAACCACTGAGCTAAATCCCTGGCCCTTTAAAATCAGTTTTACTCTAACTCTCATAGTCAGAAGTTCCAAACTGAAGTTCTATAATCCAGATAATAAGACATACTATTTCCCAAGCTTCTTGTAATTGTTAATTAACCAGTATACTTGCTTTCCTGTTTCAATAGAAAAAAATAGTGTTATTTTTCCTCCCATGGTGATAATCAAGCTTTTCTCTGTGGACATGGAACCGGGAAATCGCACCGTCCTGACTGAGTTCATCTTGGTAGGGATCTCAGCTGACCCCCGCTGGCAGAAGATCCTATTTGGAATAATTCTAGCCATCTATTTGGTAACCTTGTCAGGAAACTTGACTCTGGTTGTGTTAATCCGGATTGACTCCCGGCTGCACACACCTATGTACTTTTTCATTGGTAGTCTGTCTTTTTTGGACTTCTGGTATACCTCTGTGTACACCCCCAAAATCCTGGCCAATTGTGTTTCACAAGATAAACGCATTTCCTTGGCAGGATGTGGGGCTCAATTGTTCTTCTCCTGTGTTGTGGCCTACACTGAGTGCTACCTGTTAGCAGCCATGGCTTATGACCGCTATGTGGCAATTTGTAGCCCATTAATGTATTCAGGTATCATGTCCACCTCTCTCTGCACTGGGCTTGTTGCTGGATGCTACACAGGAGGGCTGCTGAATGCCATAGCCCACACTGCCAACACTTTCCGGTTGAATTTCTGTGGTCAAAACATCATTGACCACTTTTTCTGT